TGCACATTCTTTTCATGTTCATTCTTTTCAGTTGGCCAACATTAGAGAAACAAACATTTTTTCATTGGCCTTTAGAATATTCTAATTTTCTGAGATACCAGATTTGATGTTTTCATTGGTTGTCACCTATAAATATCAAAATTAAACGTAATAAACATCGGAAATACATTGGTCTGTGTGCATTGCATGAATATAATGTACAAGTTTCACGTTTTGAATGGAATTACTGAAATATTTTCAACCTTTTGATGATATTCTAATTTACTGGCCAGCACCTGTAGCAGTCCATTCTCATTAAAGAGCTGACTGACTAGTATAATACCTTTGTTGAACCATTTTTCATAAAAAAGAGACTTGTTCTTATAGACAATATTATAGTTGTTCCAGATATAACATCTCTGTGGAGAGAAGTTGTGCTTGTAAAGCATTGCCCATGCTAAAAAAACCTGTTGGTGAAAGTTGGAGAGTTTAATTGGAATTTTCTGTATTTTGTAATTACAGAGCAGAATAAATTTTAGGCCACCTAATTGTGAAAAGACATGATGAGGAATGAAATTCCATATGGAAGTAGGGTTTTTGAGATAATGCTTGATCCAATTTATTTTAAATGTATTATTGAGGGAGCTAAAGTCTATAAAATTTAAGCCCCCTTTGTTGTATGAATTTAAAACTACAGACTTACGGATGTAATGAGTTTTTCCTCTCCAGAGAAAATTAAATAACATCTTGTCAACAGATTTACAGAAGGAGTTATCTACGTGTAACGATTGAGCAGCATAAGTTAAACGAGAAATGCCTTCCGCTTTGGTGATCAGAACTCTGCCTTTTAGAGAAAGATCTCTTTGCGTCCATCGGTTGAAAACCTTCTGAGTTTTTTCAATGAGGGGAAGAAAGTTTAACTTCCCTCTGGCTTCTCTATCTTTAGTGATATGAAAGCCGAGATAAGTGACTGAGAGTTTTACAGGAATGTTACAGATTACAGGAGCAGAGCAATTATGAACTGGAAGCAGTTCACATTTGTTCAGATTAAGAATGAGGCCAGAAGCTTTGGAAAAACTACTAATAAAGTTAAGTGCAACTGAAACCTGTGATGCATCTGCCAGAAACAGAGCTGTGTCATCTGCCAACTGACTAATTAAAATATGATTATTAGCGATACTAATGCCTTTAATGTTACTGTGTTTAATGTGCAGATTAAGAAGTTGGGCAGCAAGAAGAAACAGATAAACAGAGAGGGGGCACCCTTGCCGTACTCCCCGCTTTAAATCAAACCTTGGGGATGTGCCATTGCTTAATTTGATAGAACTATTTCCATTATTGTACAAAGTTTGGACAGATTTACAAAAGAACTGACCAAAACCAAACTTTTGTAGGGCTTCCATTATAAAATCATGCTCCAGGGAGTCAAAAGCCTTATAGAAGTCCAAGAAAAGGACGAAGCTATCGTCATGAACTAACTCAGAATAATCTAATAAATCTAATATCAATCTAACATTATTTGAAATATGTCTATTACGCATAAACCCCGACTGACTTTCATCAATAATAGAGTCAAGCACTGATTTCAGCCTCTTAGCAAGTACCATCGCAAAGATCTTATAGTCATTGTTCAGTAAAGAAATAGGTCGCCAGTTGTCCAGTAGGAGGCAGTCTTTCTTTGGTTTAGGAATGAGAGCAATTAATCCTTGAGTTAATGTAGGAGGTAAGGAGCCTTTGAAAACACTCTCAGCAAAAACTTCCTTTAAAAATGGAGCTAGGCTCTGAGAAAATTGATTGTAAAATTCTGCAGTAAAGCCATCCGTTCCAGGTGATTTGTTTATTTTTAGCTGGTTAATAGCATTAGTAATTTCCTTCAGTGAAATAGAGGCATCACAAAAATCGGAGTCAGCTTCAGAAATCTGATTAATATTAGGGACAGAATTAAAAAAGGTAGAAGCTTCCTGAGAGCAATATCTTGAGCTGTAAAGATCACTATAAAACTTGGCGCAATACTGAGAAATTTTTTTTGGGTCATCAATGATTGTTCCATCAATTTTTAATTGCTGAATGGAGTTAATTCTAGATTGCTGCTTTTCTAGGCTAAAGAAATATGCAGAGTTCTGCTCGCCCTCTTCGAGCCACTTGCGGCGAGATCTAACAAAGGCACCTTGCGCTTTGCGTTTATATATCTCATCTAACTTGAGCTGCTGATTGGTAAGCTCCAACTGTTCTGACTCAGTGAGTGCATCTAATGACTTAGAAGTTAGGAATGCAATTTTAAGTATAGTGTCGTTTTCCTCTAATCTCCTTTTTTTAGCTAAATCACTACTATATTTTCTAAGGAATTTTGCAATTTCGTACTTCAATAACTCCCAGTTAATGCTAAAGAGATTTTCATTTTGAGCTTTGTCCCAATATAGTCGAATGAAACGCTCAATCTTAGAGGTCACTTCCTTGTGTTTAAGGACTGTACTGTTTAATTTCCAATAAGAGGTTTTAGGAGGACCAAGAGAAAGAGAAGGAATGATAATTTGAATAGTCTTATGATCAGATAGGGGTGCTGGTAAAATATTTGTAATCACATTTTTCAAATCCTTGGATATAAGCCAGAGATCAATGCGAGACTGCTTTGATAAAGTTTTGTTGCTCCATGTATATGATCTCTGTAGCGGGTGAGTATCTCTCCATGTATCAGTTAAATCAAAGCTTTGTAAGAATGTCTTCACATAAATATTAGGGGAGCCTTCATTCCTTGAAGGCAGCCTATCCAGGCGATTACTTAACACAGTATTAAAATCCCCGCCTAAAACTATAGAAGCTTTCGGGTATTTAGATAACCAGTAAAGGAGACGTTCTTTCAAATTATCAAAAAAAACCATGTTCTCTGCTTGCGAATTGAAGCCATAAGCATTAACTGTAATATAACTTAAACCGGCAACCTCTAGGACTAGCAATATGTAACGACCGGTTTTGTCACGTTCAGAATTTAAAACTTTTCCACTAAAGCGGTTTTTCAAAATACAAACACCGGCTGAACGCTCCGACCCATGAGACAGCCACAGGTCGCCCCCCCACTGTGATTTCCAGAAGTTGGTGTCCTGTTCAATTGAATGTGTTTCCTGTGCAAAACAAAAGTCAGTATTAAGTTGTTTGCAGTATAAGAATATAGCCTTTCGTTTTAGATGGTTTCTCAAACCTCTTGTGTTTAAAGAGATAATAGACAAAGACATAAGGAAAATAAACAAAGTACAATAACAAGACCAGAAAAACTAGCACGTATGCGAAAATAGATAAAGGTCTCAACAAAGCACCAACCTGAGTCTGAGAACAGCAAACCTTATAAAAAATTGTGAACATGTGCTACCAAATTCAAACAGGCTGTAAACATTACAAAAATGTCGCTTAGCTAGGAAAGTCTATTCAGCGTCTCAGGGAGGAAGAATTTCCTACCTGGTGGTTGCAACAAACAGACACCACTGAAGGTAATCAGAAGTGAGGAACAGAAAATCATTATTTTAATGTTTAGAGCAGCAGGAACTCCGAGAGGCTGCAGGCGCATCAGTGACTTTGCGGCTGCTGCGCAGGGGCAGGGGGGAGAGGGCTGAAGTAGGATGCAGAAACTACCGTTGTTAAAAGAGATGTGTTAACTTAGAAAATGTGGGCGCAATTTTAATTGTCAAAAACTCCAGCGAACCTACCCCCAAAAGGATCTGGCTGCGGCCGCTGTGGAGCTCCACAGCAACCGGAAACACGTGACCTCCACAGTAGCCGGAAGCACGTCACCACCACAGTAACCAGAAAAACACGTAACTTTACTTAAATTGACTTTGACCAAATTGCGATTTTGTTACTATTGATGCTGCTGAGAAATAAAAAGCCCCTGTGTGAAATGTATGGTTGTAGTAGTGTGTGTCTTAGCTGTGGAGCTCCACAGTAACCGGAAACACGAAAGAACTATTTACGCGTTACCATAGCAATCAGAGAGCATTAAGAAGCGTGCCCGTCTCAGAAAAGTGTATAAAGCATGTAGTGAGGGTTTTTTACAGTCTTAACATCTATAATAATTGTAAAAAATAAAGTTGGCTACTTCATGGATTTCACCTACCGCGGGTTATTTTTAGAACGTAATTCCTGTAATAAACGAGGGACTGCTGTATTATTAATAGTAGAGTCTGGGACATCTAATTGATTAACATCAACATAGATTATTATGCACTATTATTTTTGTTCAACGGTGATAAAGTCCTAATGTCTTCATGATAGTTCCTTTTTTTCCCCATCTGAGCATCGGGGAAAAGGCTGTCTTGCAATTGTTGAGGTCACTAGTGTGTGCCCCATTTCTTCCAGGATCACTCTCTTTATAGGTTTTAATGGACTCCTAGTACTGTGAAGTGGTTCCATGGTACAAAGGCATTGTATTCCAAGATCTGGGAGACTGTAGAAATGAGCAGTGATGTCCTTCCTACCATCTTTCCAGAAAAATAAGTGATCTGGAAGCTGTTAGGCTTATTTACAGCAGAAGCACTTTCTGCACCTGCATAAACTCCAGGACACATTTACTAACAGTGTTTGTTGCTGTATGTGCTGCAGCTTTGATTTTTTTAATAATATATATTTTGTTAATATTTTGGTTATGCTGTCTTGTTATGAAGTGTACAAGAGTAAAAGTGTTTTTAGCATGTGCTTCAAAGCTAAGTTTGACTGGGAAACTCAAAGCTCAATAGTCTATATCAACAGAAATTCACTGCAGCCTATGTAATATTTGATGCATCATAATTTATTCTACTCGATCTTGCAAATACATATTTGTGTGGCAATGTCATGCACAACACACATAACTATCAGATCCTTAAAATCAAACCCGTGTCATTCTTTTGGTCCACTGCAGTGCAGCAGTCAAAAAAAAAAAAAAAAAAAGAATAAGTGAATCTTGAGTGAAGTGGCCACAAATGGCCAGGATAGAGCCCAGAGTGCTAATGTTTAAAATGTATACAGTTATTATTGATTACAATTCTTTACTGTTAATATCAACAATAAGCTTTTTATTTTGAAATTACAAGTATAAAAAAATGCTGTTACATTTACATTTAATGCTGTTACACTGTAATCCTTTCTTATAAGTATGGACACAGAATCAAGTGAACAACATTTTGAAATAAGTTTAATTGGAATTTTGTACTATACAAAAACAACAACAACATATTAAACAAACAAACAAACAAACAAACACAGTCAGTGCCTTCATTTGTCCATTACATGTCAAACATAGCACTGACCCTTAGTCCCTGCTCATCAGCACATGCTTTCAAAAAGAGCTCCATGTCCTCTGCAAACTGAAAAACAAACAGGAACATGTCCCTTGCTCCAGTGTCTTCTTCCTCTGACAGGTCTCTTAAGACCCTCTGCTGGTCCCCTTGATTTAAGGACAGATATTTTGGCATTGTTACGTGTCCACGGAAAAGAGCCTTATTTTGGACAACCCACTGCACAGCAGGACGCAGATCTTCAACAACTGCTGGCTCCTGTGTCAGGCAAATGGGGATAAAAACACAGCTATTTCTCTGTTGCAGAACAGTTTTTTAACAGTTATTCAAATGTCACTTACCATGTAATTACACTACTGTTTAAAGTGAATACTGACCTGACTGACTTCCTGGAACTTGCACTTTTTCAGTCTGAAAATGGGCACGTGTTGTCCTTCAAGCACAGCTTTGGCTTCCTCTCTCCAGTGTGCAAATAGCTTGCCAGAGCTTAACAGAAAATGTTGATATTGTTAAGGAGTGTAAACTTTAACACAACATAGAACAGAAGTCAAAATATAAATACCTCCTTCAAGTCAAAGCTGTTTTTTTCTGACCACTGCCCGCGAATGAGCTTCACTGCAAGATTCCTTTTTTTCAAGACAGTTACATTCACAAGTTAACAGACATCATCATGATGGGTGTGAAATGTTTATTGCTAATAGCACCAACTGTAACTACAGGCCTTAGGAACACGACCTCAACAAAACAGCATAACAGAATGAAAAAGTACAGTCACATGCTCACAGTTGGTCAAAATAAAGCATTTTCAGCTTTAATTTGAGGTTGGCATATTTTATAAACTAATATTTAATGGTGTTTTATGTTAAACTAAAACATTTGAAGACCCTATTTATGTCTGAAACTCATCTAAAGACAGCATCACTGACTTGATCAGAATGTGAAGATGAGAAATAGAATAAAATGTTGAAGCATCGTGCTGATATAGTTTATAAAAAAAAAGCATGTGAGTGTACTGTATGTGTGAACACTCAAGATCAGCAGAACATGATCATGCACTTAACCTGGAACACTGAACAGGTTCCCGAAAATTCTGGAACAAACCAAAAATGCTTATAAAAATGTGACCGCAAAAGTGAAACATATTGTTGGCCACCAAATCCTGCCTTGGTGTATAATGGGTCAAGAAAGAGGATTTCTCTTTTAAGTGGCTTCAGTACCTAAAAGACAGTTAGCCATGACTTCAAACCTGAAAACAATGTCATTGCAAGCGATCACAATCAAAGACTTTTGAAACTGCGTCATAAAAGCTTGAATACATCTCAGACACATAGCAACATTCTAACAGTTTGTACGTGTCAAAAAACAAGACTTACACACAACTGGAAATGAGCAGGTGTCCAGAGAGGGTGTCCATCCTCTGAGCATCAGTCTGAAACAGAATTTTATTTTGAACTATTCTGTATATGAACTCTCACCAAAGTTATAAAAAAATAATCTTTTGGATTACTTGCTTGTTTCTTTAAAGGACGGTACACTTACAGGAAAGGACTGCAATGGATCACAGCCATAGGGTGCAAGCCAAGTCCGGGTGACGTACAGATTTCCTATGTAAATGCGTATCCCCTGGAATGTAAAAACAGCACATTTAAAACAACAACTCTTTAAAGTAAAGCTGGACAATCATCCTATACAACAGACAGTACCTTTGACTGAACAATTTTAGTGATAAGCTCAAAACAGCCATTTGCAATCTGAAACAGAAAAAATCATTTAAAAAAATCAAAGTACACTTTATTATTTCATATTCATAGAAACAAAATACTTACAGTCGATTCCATTTCTTTGTTTAAACCCAGTGTCCAAAAATCTGCCCGCGTGAGGCATCCAGAAGACGTTTCAACAATCAGCTCATCTTTGGGTCTGCTGATGTCCAGAACATAGTTGAGCTAAAAAAACAGAGAGGTCATAGACTGTGGATGACAAAATCAGATAAGCACGTTGCGACATCTGAAAACTTTAACATACAAGCTGTTGTTGGCCAGGGTGCGGTACAAAACACCATGATGAACGGCTGGCCAAAATGTTCTCAGGCTTTGTCAGAGCTTCGCACGGTGGTCCACACAGGTCAGGAAACGTTGCATCTGTTGACCTTCTATTGGCTTTCTTGTTGTCAACTCCTTCCTGAGGATCTGTAGGGACTTTAACAGTTTTCAGACAAAACACTGCATAGAATGCATATTAAATGCATACAAATGCAAGAAAAAAAAGCACTGTTTACAGAAGGAAATTCATTTGAAAAAGCAGATAAGTTCGTTTACGAGCCCGCAACTACAACAAGATAATGAATGCAAGATTATTATTTCACCTATATATGACAATCACTATTCAAAATAAGAAATTTTACCAGTGTCACCAGACATTGAAGGTGCTGGGTTCAACACCGTTTCTGTGGTTTCTCTGGGTTTACTGCACACCTGTGGGGCTAGGTACACAAAGAAAACAATATAAACACGTCACACAGATAGGAACAAATCTAACATGTGACCAATGGTAGCGTTCTGGTCATGAGACAATGCATGTACTTACCTACGACAGCTTGACCCAGTGCCGACAATGAGATATTGCAGGGTATCTGCAGGTTTAAGGGAGCCAAATTTAAGACTTTTTAAGACCTTTTTTAAGGCCACTTTGACCAAATTTAAGACCTTACATTCAAGACTAAAAAACATAATGTGACGAGTACGACCTTACAAATAGTTCTGGCCAAACCTTTATTGGAACTGAACGTGATGAAAAATAACACAAACATCGAGATAAGATAATCTGTGCATATATTTTCCAAAAACAAAATGCAGTACTAACAACTCTGAGTTAAATACTGTGAATATCCGTATTTAAATAAACTGAGTTTACATGAATGTGTAAAATGAATACAAGTACCATGTATTGAATACTAAATATAAGTAAATGGTCCTTCTCTTTTCTCAGTTATGGAATAGATCTGAGTTCTTCAGTCTTGGTCTTCAGTTCAGTTTCCACCTGTTCTAGTTCATACATTTTTTCTCTGTATCTCTTCCTCAGCGTGTTTGACTTTGTGATGAGCTGGGCCATCAAGCTTCCACTCTTCCCTTCAGCATCTTCTGCAAGTTTATCAGCATCTCTATGTAGGCTGTTGGACACTTGCAGCAGAATTTGCTTCTTTTTCCTAAGCTCCTCAATGGCTTCTTCTGCAGATTTTCGCTTCTGTGCCTCGCGATCAGTGATTTTCTTCCTCTTTTGCTCATCTAGATGCACTCTGTATCTGGACCTTGCTGATGCAGCCGACGCAAGTAGCTCCTTTGACATAGGGACATTGAAGACCCCCCCAGAGACAGTGACATAATCACAGACCAGTCGCTGAGCAATCATTGTGTCTTCCTGCATATTGTAGGTCTCCACCTCTTTGTTTACAGAGAATCCTCTCTCCACTGTTGCTTGTCCATGGGACAGAAGTAGTAGTTTCTTGCTAAACTCCAATAGCTCCTGATAGCATTGGCTCAGGACGCCATTGAGAAATACATCCAGTCTACACTCTGTGGGTCTGTAGGAGAGAAAGGTCTCACTTCTCGCTCCAACTGATAAGACCTCAGTAAACTGCTGGACAATTACATCACCTGCAAAAAAACAGTGATAAAAAAATGACTTAATGTATTTTGATTGTATACATTAAAGCTGCAAGCAAGAGTTTTTGTGAGACTGATTGCACCTTATGTCTGATATATTTAACATGTATCTGCAAAATTAATTTTCCTCATATATTTTTACATAAACAAACTGAACTGCTGTATTCTCTCCTACCAGCAGAGACACCTCCTGATAACTGCTGGTTTTGCAGAAACCTCTGCACCAGGTTAGTCATGTTTTTCTGGCACCAGTCTGGGTCAGAATACATCCTCCTGGGATCCAAACAGGCAACCTGCCTAACAGGGGGGTACTTTAATGGACTCTTGTCTTGCACTTTCTGAATGATGGTGGACAGCATCTTGATGCAGTCTTTCCTGAACTCCAGGACAGTAAGCTCCCCTATCTTTTTTTGTTGCTGAAGTTCCTGACAGAATGGAATGTAATAAGACCAAGTTACCCATTATAACAGCCAACAATATTCATCACTATTGAATTAACCCTCCCACTATCCTAATGGGTGTGACCCCGCAAGGAAAGTTGACCATTGAGCAGGGTTGATGGTTTATCCCTTGGGTCCATGTGGCAGGGGTGAGGAGTGAGCACCACCTCACCCCTGCCACGTGGACCTCAAGGGATAAACCATCAATCCTGCTCAATGGTCAACTTTCCTCACGGGGTCACCCATAAAGACAGTGGCAGGGTTAAAGGTGGAACATTACCTTAAGAACTGACTCTGCACCCAAACCTAGGGTGACATCTTGCAGGGGGACCCAGTTATTCTTGTCACCAACATCCAGTTTGACCAGCTGCAGTGGACTGATATCCTTCAGGATTTCTCTCTTGACAAAACGCCTTAGCACACTCTGAGAAAAACAAAACAAAATGGGTAAATTTTTTTTGACAAATCTAAACACAACACAAATATACATATATTTTTTTTAAATCATATGTGACTATTATTCATTTTCAAATGTAAAACAGTAAAAAGAGGACAGTGTATGCATAAATATGTTGACAAGCATACAGAATTATACAAATCAACATAAATTTGCAACATCAAACTGTCTGGTGTTAGGATGTTATTACCTTCATCAACTCTGCCAAGTCTGTGGCCAAGAATGGCATCACTGGTTCATCAGTTTGATATCTTGTCAAGAAAGGAGCGAAAGTCCTGGTAACAGCAATGTAGAAATGTAGCTTTGCAAGGATAAGGGGGTCTTTCTGAGCAGTTTCAAGTGTGTCAAAAGATGCAGTTCCTGGATTTGGTAGCTTCCTCGTTCTGACTGCATCCAGGTACATGGTCAAAGATGCCCACATCTCCAAGGCTCTCTCTGCTACTGGTAAGTTTTCAAGCCATCTGTGGCTACAGAATGCAAGTGGAAACTTTGCAGAAGCTGTCAAAGTTATGAAGTCCTCTCTCCTAGCTGGCACATTATGGAAGAGAACATGCATGGCTTTCAAAACTTTCTCTAGCTGCCACACAGAGAAACCACCTTTGCAGGCATTATGTAGAGTGTGAAGGCCACAGCTCCCAACCACAATCAGCTGTCTCCCCTCATACTGCTCACGCAGTTCTTCTTGAAGCAACTCCAAAAACTTCCAGTTTACATTGGGCCCATCCATGGAGACTGAAAGCAGCTTTTTCAAATCCAGCTGCTGAGAGCATTCCTGAGGAAAAAACTGAGCATTAGGCTGGGCAATGTATCAAAACAAGAAAAACTTTGAACTGCTCCACTGAAAAAGTCATATTATTGAATTATTTTTTTCAAATAAAAAAAAATTCTAGTTGAAAAATAAAATGTATTCCCATTTATGGATTACAGCAACACAATTGCAATAATTACCCATAATTTTCTGACAAAATTGGCTACATGTGTTTTACTAGTGTTGGCTTGTTACTTACTTTAAAGTGGTGTAGTAAATCCTTAGCTGTTCCATGGCCCATGAACTGTGATCCTAGGTACCTGGACTGGACTTGATCCTCTTTCCAGTAACGAACATGCAGATCCATTTGCTTTGTTTTGGTTATCTGGTTGAGGGTTTCATCAAACATCAAAGTAAAACTGCCTCTGTTGACATCGGCCATAAGGAGTTTGATGATGTGGGGAGCCAAACCAAATTTGACTACATATGCTGTTTTGTCTTTACCACACGTAAAGTTTTTAGCAATTTCTGAGTCGGGAAACATAGCTCTAAATATATCTCCGACTCCCTCATTAGCGCCGTAAGATTGGTGTCTTGTTACGCTGTGCAGGCACCACAGCACCTCTGCCTGAAGAGTTGCAGTGGATCCAAAAATCCCCCTGAGGTCCGATGCTGATGCGGTCGCTGCTGAGTTCGGAGATTCTGAAGCCGGGGAAACCGGTGACACGGTGCAGAACTGAGAAATTGCATTCGTCTGTTCGCGGGTTTTGGCTGCGGCTTTGTGCTTCTCGCTGTGCATATGCGACTCCACAGCTTTAACTCCCATGGAACCGAGTTTAAAGAGCTTTTTGCACAGAGTACAGCGGGCTTCGCAGTTATTGCCCGGAACCGGCGCTAACCACGTCGCGAACGTGGGATTAGCCATCCAGTTAACATTAAACTTGCACTTCCCCATGGCGCAAACTCCCGCTAGCTTAACCAGCTAAAGTGCTCATCTAAAAATAGCCCCCCCCCCCCCAACTGAATGTGTACGTTTCCGCTTACGCCAATATCACACACAAAAAAAGCTGAACACTAACTATAAATTCACGAACATTTTATAGAATAAAATAATCTTGTTTATTGGGTCTTTGGTAATTTAAGACCTTTGGAAACTGTATTTAAGGATTATTTGTCATTTTTAAGGACTTTTAAGGCCTTAAATTTGGAAAAGCAAATTTAAGACTTTTTAAGACTTTTTAAGGACCCGCGGATACCCTGTATTGATCTTTCCAAGTCGACCATGTCTTAGCTGCCTCTCCAGAAGTTTCTTGTTGGTGACAGTGTTATAATGATGAGTTATATTTCTCATCATAAACACGTGTGTGGATGGACTCATGTTACTTAAAAAGTAATTGTTTTTCCTCATGTTTGCAAAGAACTGATCAACAACTTGACTGTTCAGCCAGCCTTTCAGCTCTGGGACAAGTTGAATTCTGCGTAATATGTCCTTGGGATCTTTTGTATTTCCCTCATGAAATCTATCATACAGGACATAATGGTCAGATGATCCAGTGACAGGATGAGGATTTTCATTTACACTATCCATCCTTTCATGTAGCCATGGAAGATTCACTTTCAGGCTTCCATCCTGTGCAGCCTTGACATTTTCCTCAGTGGGCTCAGCCAGTCGACCTTCATGTGGATGAAATGGCAGTTTATCAGGAACCCGCAAATTGGTGTGTGCCACCAAACCCCTCGCAAAATCGTAAACACAGACGTTTGGCATGTGCTTCCAGGACAGGAGAAGGTCAACAAAATCCCGGGGACTTTCAGCACGAAGATTAAATTTAACGCTGTATACAATGCCATGTGGACATAGTATTACAGACCATCCTCCTGCAAGCAAAGATTTAAAAAGTTGTTTGTGATTGTAATTACATATTTTAATGCTACTTCTAATAATCGCTAAGTGATGCTTACCAGAGGCACCCCATATGCTTTGAAACACCTTATCATATGTCTGCCTGCTCTTCATCTTCTCCCTCAGTCTGGTGATGAGATCAAAGCGGGAGCCTTTGGAGTCGATGTTGCATGCTTTGCACAATTTTCTCACCACTCCAACCTGACAGTAATTAGGGAAAAATGTAAATGGAACAACCCCTGAACTTTATGTCACATCTTCTGAAAACATAAAAGCAATGTTACCTTTTGTTTTGCGAGTTCATCCAACAGACGGTCTTCTGTGACACCGCTAAGCTTTGCTTCATGTGAAGAGCTTATTCCTACTTTTTGAAACTCTGTGTTAAGCACAATGTCACTTGTTCGAGTTTCATTCCCGATCCATGGTGCCCAGGACGTGTAACTTGGTAGAACTGAAAATAGATTCTTCGGACCACCTACAGAAAATGGCATGTTTTTAATTACAATCTAAATTACTTTAAAACACTGAATGACTTTCAATAAGTTTTTGCCATCACTCACTTGGAAAAAAAACCCACGGCTTATCATTTCCAGGTGAACAGAGTTCCAAAAACCTTCAATGTCATGTTCACCATTGAAGTCTTCCGGGGCTTTGAGGTCACTCACTATAATAAATTTACTCATAAGAACATGCACATAATGTACACAATGAACTATGAACACAAATGTACATTAAACTTACCTGCTAACTTGAACACCCCTTTTCTGTGTAAGTCCATAACTACCACTGAACTGTACAATGTCAACAGCAACTTTTAGGTCAACAAAGATACTGCAGAAGTGCTTAAAAAGTGCATATTTATAACTATAAAGTATTTTTAATACAAACATACCGTTGAAATGCAAAGGATTTTTCATATGCACACTTAGATGCTTCTCAATCTTTGCCCTGACAGTAGGGCTGGAAGTGGGGCACAGAGGGCAGTGAAAGAGTCCTCTGCAGCACGTGTTGCATTCCTGCAATTCTGGCTTTAACCCCGAATTCCAGATTGATATGTGCATCTAAAACAGAGAGAAAAACAGATAAACACCATATACACATTTAAGTTCAGGTTTTAGCAGAAATAACACATTACAGTTAGCATGTAATAGATTTGGGAGGAAAATTCTTGAAAAAAAACAAACATTTTACAACACACTTTCATTTGTGAGATATGTTTCTATTGACATATAACAGTCAATTGAACAGGGGCTAACTAAAATCGGGGCAATAAAAAAGCTGTACAGAATAGAATAACGAATACAAGTATTGATAAATATATAAATCTGTTTGTGACGAAATGTACGGTGTTGACGCTAAACTAAGGTGTCAAAAGTGCACACGTTCCTTACTACAGTTTAGATACCTCTGTTTAAAAATAGTCAAATAAAAGTAGAAGCATTGACTCGACTTTTTAGTCAAGTGGAAGTAAGAATTACAGGGTATAAAATATAATTTATGTACAAAATCCTGAAGTAATCTTGCGTCCAAAGCACGCGTGCGTGGGGCTGATTTACAAATGTACGAATTACAAAGTACAGACACGCGTGCTAAAATGTGAGAAGTAGAAGTATAAAGAAGTATACAGTAGGCACAAAAAAGTACAACAGTAAAGATACCAGAAAATTCTACTTAAGTACAGTATTGAAGTATTCGTTATTTTGCATCTCTGACGCCAACAATAAATCATACTCTAATGCAAAACGTGTTTTTTCTTCTTCTCGCCCACAGAAGCCGTTAATCAAACTCTTTTACTTAAACCAGGCCCAGGAAAAAGCATATCTGTGTTTCTCTGCCATTGCGCATGATGGGAAAAAACAATTAAATAAGAAGGAATGTTGTTGTAACGCAAAAAAAAGTGGCAACATGATCACTGTAAGAAAACCAGAATTATGAAATCACTAACGGCGAGTTTATTTAAGAAAGACTGTCCCAACCTTTGCAAGACGTCCGCGGTATCCATGTGTTTATTGCCATTGTGGTGCTCACATGCTTCCGGCTACTGTGGATGTCACGTGTTTCCGGTTAGTGCGGAGGTCACGTGTTTCCGGTTACTGTGGAGCTCCACAGTGGCCGCAGCCAGACCCTTCTCACCTACCGACCTACCGACCGACCCCCCGACCCCCCCCCCCCCCCCCGCTTCCGGCGTATGACGTCATCAACGACTAGTCGAAGTCGACTCGACTTTCATTACTTGACTGTCGACTGAGGAATATTTATTCTAAATAGAAACTTCTGTTTTACTTTTGCCCATCAGAGCTCAGTGAGTGGAGAAAACAAGAGCGTCGCCCTCTGATGGCCTCATTAAGCATTACATGAAGCTATAATGACTAAATCAGCACTTTCCCAACACTTTTTATTTGCTTCCCAGAGCTGCTAAAAAATAAAGGTAACGACATCAGAAGTTTCTAGCACATTCTTTATAGAAAGTAAGATTTTTTAGTTTGTTTGAAGTTCATAAAGAATAAAACTGGTCCGATTTAGATTAAAAACATCATAAAGGAAAAAGTATTTTACTTGTTTTTCGTGGCTTTTGAAGAGATCACCTAAAATAATAAAAATATAACATGTTATGTGTGTTTTATTAGTCCCATTCTGAACACACAGGTGTATTCTGCTCCAGCAGGTGGCGATAGTGCACCTTTACGCTAGTCACCGACCACCGGAAGAAGCAGAAACCGGAAGCTGCTAGCAGAGCTAGGTTGTTGTTGTTCTAGTGTGAGGAGAATGTTTGAGACTCTGCAGTAAAAAATGTCTTCACTTCAGTCTCTGGGAGAGTTGATCAGCTAAAGCGACTAACTGCTGCTGCTGCAGAAATCTTCTCACCAGGCTGTGGAAACTTTCTTCTCCTCCTCAACAATTTGGTGGAGTTCTTTCCAGAACCAGAGAAGATATTCTGCGGTCTTCGTGACAATCGCAGCTCCAGAATCAGGTTGTGGGTGAGAAAAGCTTTTCTCTAGACTTCCTGCCCTCTGGGTCTGCTGCTGTTCCTTTGGCGAGAACCAAAGCGTTGGATCTTTAATCTCCTGCGTTGTTCTGAGGCAGCATCTTAATCAGCTCTCCTGCTTTGTTTCTATTGCAGCTGTTAGCTAAACACGGCTAAAGAAAACCTGCTACCACTTCAGGATCATCCATCAGCTGGGACTGATTCATCGTATGTTCTTCACCACCTGGACCTGGACAGCATGGACACAGGTAGGGCTGCCACCTTTTAGATATGTAAATAAGTAAATGAGTTGGTGAAGTGGTTTTTCTCTTAGACAGCTGTGTTATTCACACAGGTGTGAAACATCTGTAAAAGCCAGATCTGGTGCAGGAAAATGGCTGAACAGGGAGTGGGGATACACTTTTCCTTCTGCGGTTGTAAGTGATAATAATAATAACAATAATAATAATAATAATAAAAGTAGTAGTAATAATAATACCGTAAATCCTCTAATACAGGCCAGGGCCTGTATTTTACTCAAGCTCCAGGCCTTTATTGGAAGGAGGGTCAGAATTTGAGGCAGGCCTCAATTTCTATTTGAGCAAAATGAACTACCGGTAGAATGAATTAAAACGGGGTGTGTCTATTTGAACCTATAAAATACTAGGTTCATTTATTGAAAATGTACAGTTACCATAACGTGGTACGGTTTGCATATAAAACATTAACAACAAGGCTAAATAACAGTAGGGAAATACTGTATTGTAACAAAACAATAGCAAACATACCTGTAATGCATTTTAAACGTTATTAAATACCGGTATTAGAAAAGGCAACAGCCACCTTACAGCTTCAAAGTTGAATCGTTTCGTCTCGTTTGGGTTGTAGTAAAAATAAAATAAAACCCCTCAAATTCAATTCAATCTTTGTCCAGTTTAAAGTAAAAAATAAAATACCGGTAATCCAATTCAGTTTAATCCTCATCCAGTTTGATGGGTTGATGTTAAAACGTTTAGCAGCTTGCTCCGTTCCGCAGCATATATCAGCACGATCTCTTTGAACTTGATATCAAATTTTCGGCTTCGCACCTGCCATGATTAAAATTACCCTCGTGGTCTATCACTGGCAAATCAAAAGTTAGAAGGATGACACAACCGCCCCCCTGTGGTACTTGCCTGTTACCACATTCCACCCAGCCACAATTTAAAAAAACGGCCATTATTCACCTCCACCGACTCCGACACCGGCCAAAATGTGATACCCGGCCGTTAATTGAATACAGGCCAATATCAGAGGATTTACAGTAATAGTAATAATAACAACAATAATAATAACAATAATAATAATAATACATTAAACTTTAGGTTACTGTCGTAACCCCGGTTCTCTGAGTAACATGAGTGAGATGTCTCACTATGGGATACGCCCCTCCGCGGATTCCTCAGAAGCACTTATCTCAATACGCCAATCCTGATTGGCCAGTGACTGTGACGTACGCGTCCCCCTGCTACTATAAGTAGCAAGCGTCCCAACGTACGCACTATTCAAGATAAACACCTCTTCTCGCTTCGCCCAGCAAGAAGGGTTGTCTGGTGAGACATCTCACTAGGGCTGGGGGTAAACGATTATTTTTAAAGCGATTATTCTGAAGATTATTTTATTGAATAGTCGACTATTCTGACGACTATTTATACAATTAATCTAATGATTATTTTTCTATTGCACAGTTAATAAAAACCAAAAAATCTCTAATAAATTCCTCCAAAACGTTGATAAATTGTTACTGTAAGAGAATAAACACTACAGGCCTCCCATTTTGTATAACACTGCTTTTATTGTGTTGGTTGGTTATGTTCTGGTGACGTGAAGAACTTGGGAGTGCAGGCTGCTGCCTGAGAGGTGGTTGGAGACGGAGTGTCTCCATGCTGCTTCGTCTTGGTCACTTATGTGTGTGGCGAGTGGTGTTACGACTCTTCCTGGGGAGTTTGGCTCGTGTGCAAAAAGGAAGGGACAATAATGTGGGATTTAAAAGTTAAAATGATGATCGGGTTTATTTACAACTACAAAAAACCAAATCTTTCCATCCACAGGTTGGGAGTAATAAAACTAATTCTGCCTGTGGGGAATTAAAACAAAAGTACAGATAACTAGGGATGTCCCGCTGGGCAAAGATTACAGGGTTTTGGACCAAAATAAGAATCTCCAAAGTTCCAAACTCTAAACTGGGTGGTTAAACCAACCTCAAGGTGATATTTTAAACTAAACCGAAAACCCAAAACACTCTAAATGTAACAAAAGGGAGATTTTATTACATTTAGACATTTATTAATTTGTACCACAAATTATTATTTTTTATATGTGTTCAACATGTTTAAATATCGCTTGTTTGATTAACCAACATTTCTAGTGTACAGCGCCTTGTTTGGTTGTCATGCCTTGTGAATGCGCTTTATAAATAAAATTGGATTGGATTGGATTGAAAAAAGATGAACTCTAAACCAAAACGTAACAGCTTATCCAAACGCAAGAAGCTGTTAGCGAAAATGCTAACAGTAGCTTTACCAACGTTAAGTTCAAGTTGCCAAGTTTAAATAAACCAAAAACACCCAGCAGCAAACAGACCAGCACGGAGGAGAGACTGCTACCACCAAAACAGCTCTCCTAATGTCTGAAAGAAGCTCCTTTATGAAGGGAGAAACGCTCCCGGTGATTTTCTGCATCTGCTATAGAGACGGAGCAGCGCATTTGACCCCGGAAGTTGTTGTCCGTTGCCGGGAAACGAAGGCGGGCAAAACAGGAAAGGAACCTAGTAG